GTTGTATCACTGAAGATCCTCAGAAAGAATTTCTACCAAAAACAAACAAACAAGCAAATACGTAACAATATATTTTAGAGACAGATCCTCATGTATCTTCGACAAATCCTCACATATGTAATTTTACAATAGATATAAAGACAAATCCTCACGTGGATTTGCCAAGTTCTCATGTTTAACATTTTATGAATTATTCTTCCAACATCAGATTATTTCCAAATGTGAAGACAAGTGTGGGCTTTCCAATGAGAAGGATTTCTTTAATGGTAAGCTCAGTATTTGCAGTTCCAATTGTAATAATGGTAGAACTGTTAACTGATATGTTATGTACTTGTTTATATATAATTGAATTGCTGAATAACCTGATTTTAACAGGTAAATACGGATTTGACTAAGATACCTAAGGTGTTTTTAGAGAAATGTAGAGAAATTTTGGAAATGGGTGACATTACACGTGTATTTGTTTATATGAACCATGGGTGAAAGTATGACAGTAGTCGATCTTTGTGTTTAAAGAAGTATTTAATTCAAACTAGGTATCAAAATAAGCTTCGTTAGAATACTTAACAGACATTTAGTCGAATGGGAGTGATGTGTTATCTTTCTCAGTACAGATATCTGGTCGAATGGGCTTGCGATCCTTCGTCACCTTCAAATCCTTGTTTATTATCTTGCTGACTACCAGCCTCATTGCATTAACTTTTTATTTTTCGCTCCGAGGGCTATTTTTTGCAACTATAGCCTTCACTTTGCGTATGCGAGCGTTGATCTGGAATGACTTGTTACTGAGCCTGTTTCTGTTGTAAACGCCTTGTTGTACGGGTTATTTTTTTTGATTATTTCCTTAGAAAATACTGAAGGCACCACTCTTCGAAATATTGTGCCCCATTGCATCGTTTAACGAACTTTAGGAATAAATATTTTTTGGAAGACTTTTCGTGGTTATCCAGGCACAAGTCTACACGTAATGTCAATGAGTCTCTTGTTGAGACTTCGACGTGATCTAGGTGCTAAACATGCACAACGACTCGCATTTTCGGCAACCTTCCACTGCATTAACAAATACAAATCGTTCACACAAAGTCCATTTATACTGGCGGTGAGTACTAAGAGTAACTGAGAATGCATGGTGTTTTTTGTATTGCTATTTAAAGTAACTAAGGCAGCGCAACAACAGAATAACTTGGTATCTGCTGGGAATTGGAGAGAAGTGGAACGATTTCTTTTAACACATGTGGCTGTGGAAAAATTCAATGTACATTAATCTCAATAATATATATATATATATATCGTTTTGTTATGTCCCCTCCTCTAATGTAACATATTAATCTATACTGCGTTTTAATACAGGATTGTATTTTCGGCACATTAAATTATACAAACTTTTTCTAATGGTTGATAAATGAGTTTCTTTTTTGCCTCTCATATTAAAGGAATTTATATCAATACATAAGCTATAATTTTATTTGTACAATAAAGTATTTTTATTTCAAGCTAGCCCCCTAGTGGCACAGCGGTATGTCTGCGGACTTACAACGCTAGAATCCGGGTTTCGATACCCGTGGTGGGCAGAGCACAGATAGCCCATTGTGTAGCTTTGTGCTTAATTACAAACAAACATTTCAAGCTT